CCCCCCCCCCCCCCCCCCCCCCCCTTTTTTGAAGCCAGCGCCAAGCAGCACCGCCAGCAGCCCCTCGGGTTCCCGCCCGGGAAGGAGCCGTTTTAAGGAAGTGTGGTAGCGAAGGCAGGCACCTAGGTGTGCGCACCCGGGCATTGCATCAGCACACCCGGACACCCGGCTCCACAGTCCCCACGCCCCGTCCCTGCACCCCGGAGCTGGCACACAGCGCCCATAGGGCCACGCGGGCACAGACAGATACGTGTCGCCCTACTGGCATCTTATTTAATAGAGGAAAGTCGGCTAAGGGCAAATAAGGGTCATCCTAATTATGTGCCGGTTCCAGACTCATTTATCCTCGCCGTACTCATTATCCACAAACATAAAGTTAAGCGACCTTCGCTTTTGCTATTTTTTAGCCTCAATCTTTTCTCCTCCCCTGCTATTTAATTTGAATCACTGCATGGATGCGAGGTGGGAAACCCATCCGCGTTCTACCATCTCAAATAATTAATGTGATCCTCTAAATTAAAAGCGCATTTATAAGCTCGTGGAATTTGTAGTGAACAGTAATGAATTTTATACATATAACCGTCGCCTAAACCTCCTTTTCTTCGCCGTATTGCCTTTGTTCGAGGTAAACTGGGAACGTCTTTCTCTCTCCTGTGAAATCGGACGCCGTGCTGGAAAGCACAATTTCAGGCTCTCCGGTTCTGCCTTTTTTGAGTTATGTTATGTGGTAGGGTGCTACAATTTTTGCTCGTCGGGCAATTGTAGAAAATCTCAGGCAGGGAAAGTTCAGGCTTCTCGTACTTTGGGAAAGTTGGGGGTTTTAAACTTTAATTTAAAGACTGACTTGATAGAAAATGCAGACAAGGGGGAAGCTTTCCACAGATAAAATGCGCGGACGTGAGCTGTTGATTTTGATTTTTTTTTTTTTTTTGTGACAAGACATTATCGCATCTTGTGTAAGAATAGAAATTTAAATCAGTGCAGGGTGGGAGAGATGCGTGAGTTTATTCTAAGAAAGTGCAGGCAGTTTCTCCTTGGCGCAGACGGTGTACGCCCGTAAATTTCAATAATTTGATGAGCTTAAATATTTAGCTAGCGAGACGGGACACAAAATCAGCAAAACCGCGGGAATACGCCGGAAGAAAACCTCCTCCCGGGGCAGGTAAAGCCCGCAGCCCAGCTCTGCGGGGGTGCGGAGCTGCTCCGGGAAGGCCGTCGGTCCGTGCGCCCCGGTAATCCCGGCGCAGCCCGCGCAAGCCGCGGCACACCGGTAAAACGGGAGCGCGTCGGGACCGAGCACCCCCACCTCCGTGTCTATTTATAAACACGTATAAATATGAATTAGACCTTTTCATGGCGCCAGCGGCCTTTCCGTGCGGCTTTTGGAAAGCGCTTTCCCGGGTGTCGGGGAAGCGGACGGCGATCCCGCGGCAGGACGTTTGCGCGCTGGGCGGGGCGGGCAGGACGGGCGGATCCGGCCCCGGCCCCGGCCCCGCCGGGGTCCTGCCCGCCCCTCTTTCCCCCCCTAACCCCCTCTCTCCGTCTCGCTGCCCTAGGCCTATTCCTCGGTGCCCGTGAGCAACATGAACTCGGGGCTGGGCTCCATGAACACCATGAACACCTACATGACCATGAACACCATGACGACGAGCGGCAACATGCCCTCCAGCTCCTTCAACATGTCCTACGCCAACACGGGGCTGGGGGCCGGGCTGAGCCCTGGCGCCGTGGCCGGCATGCCGGCGTGCTCGGCAGGGCACAGGGAGGCGCG